TTATCAACAGACCCCTCTCCACTCTCTTCATCTGATTCTGATTGCTCAGACTCTTCTTCTCTGTCTTCCTCCCTTTCTCCATCTTCCTTTTCAGTTCCTTCACTTTCATCTTCTGTATCTCCATCCCCCTTAATCTTCACCTCCCTTTTCTCCTCTAGTTGTTCCTCTTTTCTACTTTCTTCTTCTTTTGTCTCCTCCTCTTCATATGCCCCTCCCTCTTCTTTATCAATAGATTCTTCACTACTTACTTCCCCTGATTTTGCTGCTTGCTCCTCTTCTTCCTCTTCCTCTCTTTCCCAATCTTCCTTTTCAGTCGTGTAACAATCATCTTCTGTCTCTTTTGTATCTTCATCTTCCCTCATCTTCACCTCTTTTTCCTCCTCTAATTGTTCCTCTTTGCCACTTTCTTCTTCTTTTGTCTCATTTTCTTTGTCTTTTAATAACTCTTCTTTTTCTGTCTGTGATTCTTGGGTTTCACTAGGCTGCTCTGACTTGCTTATTATTTGTCCCTGTTGGGTATAAACTGCATCAGGAGTGTCTTCAGTTACACATCGACTATCAGACTCAAGTGATTGTTTTGTTTCGTCGTTACAGTCCTGAACAAATTGCTCTAAATCTTCCTCTGAGTCTGACTGGTTTCGATCAGTCTCTACACACTGGCTCTCTTCCACAGGGTAAAAAGTTCTGATTGTCGAAGCGATCTGTTCCCTGAGGTCTTGCGGCATGCTCAGCTCCTCCATCAGCTCATCAATGCCCGAATGCTGTTCCTCAAATGCATCGCCGCCTTCAGAGACGACATCTAGCGCAAACTCAGTTTCTGACACTTTGGGAGAAAGGGGTTCACTTTCAAGCCTTTCCCTCAGAATCTGGAAATCCTTCCAGCTCTGTCTTAAACGAGAAGATGCTCTGCTTTGCAAATCAGTCAGACTTGCTCTCTGCTCTTCCTCGTCCTCGATGGCCGAAATCTTCTGCAGGGACTCCATCATTAGCATCGCCTCTGACTTGGTTCTTGATATTTTATCCTCTCGTGCTGTGGAGTCTATGAGGTGATCTCTCAGAGTCATCACTGACAAGAATGACAGAAAGGCTTTACACGACGAGCCAAACACTGAGGCTACTTGTGTCGGGAAATCGGGAAGGCTGTTAGATTTTTCAAGGTTGGATGCCACGTTGGTGTCAGAGGCTCTTCTGATGCACTGAATGGATGAACAGAGTTGTTGCAGGGCAGGCTTTATCTTTGCTTTGGGACTCAAAAAGTTAGATGGTGAAGATGTTTCATCGCCAGCTGGACAGATGGCCTCTGCAGATTTGTGTGGCCTCAGTCTGTTCTCCTGATGTTCAAGGTCAGCTCTGACATTTGGCATAGAAACACTTAAACCTTGTACTGTTGTTAGTTCTTGGTGGCTAAGAGGAACTGATAGACAAGATGATGATCCCTTTATAACATCATTGGAGGATGGGTTATTTTCATCAAAATTAGTATGGCATTCATTCTTTTCATCTGATTCAGAATCTCCGCCTATCTGAAATATAACCTTTGTTCGAGGTTGTGTTTCCTCTGTGATCACCTCCTCTGGATATGGCACTTGGTCTGGGGTGACTTTCTCCAACCAGTTCTCAACATATTGGTGGATCTCGGAGGGCGAAGGATCGAGAGAAGGCATCGAAACAAGCGGTTTTGTTGGTGATATTCCACTTTCAGGCATGGATTTTGGCTTGCTAGTTGTCTTTTTAGTAAGAGATTTGTTGGGTTGCAAAATGTCTGACATGTTCTTTTTCATTTGAGGCCTTCCAGTTGGAGTATTTACATTGTGGCCAATATCGCTAGCAGCTGGTTTGCTTGTGTTTTGTCTCTGTGGTGCTGTTCTAACTAATGATGCTGAGCTCTTTGTTGGTGTTTTTTCACCTTTATTGGATTTCTTAGATTGGAGACTTTCTGCTTTCTTTTCTGCTCCTTTACTCTTTTGACCACTTTTAGCACTTTCAGAAGAATTCACCGTCCTTTTTCCCACACTGGCCTTACTGCTTATCTTGTCAGCAGATGAATGCTTGCTATCTTTTGAGGGGCTGATTAGGCTTTCCTTCGGTTTTTTATCCGTGTTACTTGTTGAAGTTGAACTCTTCTGACTCCTGCCAGACGTAGTCATCTTTTTCTTCGTCGTGCTTTTTGGAGTGTTGTCTAGTTTTACTCTCTCTAGAATTTGAAGGTTTCTCTTGGTTTCGTTTTCACTCGGTGAAGACAGATTGTTTGTATTCTCATGTGTCAGAGATACTGGCTCTGATGACAGTGATAGCATCTCCTCTTTCTGCCTTTGCAGTGAGTCAGCAGTGGGTGGCTGCCAGCTACAATCTATATCACAATCATTACTCGATGAATGAGGCCCTGAGTCAGTCGACTGTTTACTTTGTGGTGCCGGAGGGGAGCCATGTAAAGGAACGCCATCTACACTATATTCCTGATTCGCGAAATAGTTGTCATAGCAGCCTTGGGTCTCATAAATATGCATCACAGTCTCTCTAAACTCCATCCCATTATTCTGAATCTGAAGGACCTCAGCAACTCCTGATGACCTGATGGAGGAGGGGGTGCATTTGTTGCTCATTCCTGCGGATGCTGTTTTGCGAGGTTTTGGGATGGGTCTATTGCTGCTACTGCTGTGTTTGACAAGGCAGTATCCCTCCGTTGTTTCGCCATCGGCTGTCCTTTCCACATAGGAATAATGTCCCAGCATGCTCTCTTGCACCCCTGACTCTGTGACCCTCTTCACACTCTCAATAGACGCCTTTTTATTAACATGTCGAGGACCAGGTGTGGGAGTGCGTTTGACACTTTTTTTCGCTTTTCTCGTAGCTGTTGAAGTGTATCCTTCACATGTTCGCTCATCATTAAAGCCGACGCCTTTTCCAGCTGCAGAGGGAAAGTTCTCCTCTTTCGTTTCTTCCTCGCTGATACTAGAGGAGTCTTTGGGAATGACATTGTTCGAGTCAGGGGAGCGGTTGCCTGACTCAGAAATTGAGGCACAAGCTGCCCTCTTGCTAAGGCTGGTGCGGCTGAGTGTGGTTGTCCAGTGGAGCATCTCCTCCTCCTTAATGGTCAGACGAACTTTCATCTCCACCGTCATGCTGCCATCTTGATTCACGCGGAAAGACTTTTCAATGTCATCATCGTGAGGTACGATGCAGGTTTGATGCACGTTATCTTCCCTGCCAGTTCCGGACATCTCCATAGATGTGTGATGCTGATTGGCTTCTGCTTCAAATAGTCCATTGTGGGGATGCAGGTGGCCATTTTGAGACTTGTTTATCTGGTTCACAATATATCGCTCTGATGACACAGAGAAGTTCCTCGATCCTCGTCCGCTCGAGAAAGACTTTTTCTTCTCTGCTTTCAGAGGTGTTTGGAGAAGAGATGGGACAAAAAAGAAAGAAAAAAGATCTTGGGTCACGTAAAGATTTTGCAGTAGTGCTTCAAAGAATAGAATAGCAGAAATTATAATAAGCATGCTTATTTGCTTTCTTCACTCTCATATCTTTCTTTTGAAAATGAATCCGGACAACAACAAAAAATCTACCATTTTTATTTTATACCATTGTTTTGGTATAGAAGTAAACAAGATACAACGTGAGATTACTCTGTGCTTTTTTAAGAGATTTGACACTTCAAGGAAAAGATTTTATAGATTCAAACTTGCATACAGACATGAGAGAGGAATAGAATAACAAAACATAACATATTTTCGTTTCCCCGTGGCGTAAACTAACACTTACGTGCTCTAGGTTGTAACATTGAGGGTTCAGCAGTTTCCAGGAACATGGCCTGTGCCATCTGGCCTGTTCTGTGAAAACTATAGTTTGCTAATCTGAAAGGCTCGTTGCCCGCTGCCACAACAACTCCAGAGCACAAGATAAGAGCAGCAAGACCATCAACCTAAAAGAGGAGAAATGAGATTGACATTCATCATGGGAAACCGCAGATTTTCTTCATCTAAAGCATTATGAATGCATCACTTACTCTGTATGTGACTATTCTAAATTATGCACTTCTGAGCTTTTTCTTTGAATAACACGATTTCAGTCTGTATTTTATATCCCTTAAAAACTGCCGAAAATTAGATTATTTTATTTTTGCGTCATTCCTTCTCAAATCAACACTGGTTTTCTGTTTGATCGTCTCAGATTTGCATATTTTACACACATTTTATGGTACAAAGGTTAAACATGTAGAACAAGTCCAGTAAAATTTTAGCTTTAGCCTCCTAGGACCTGGCGTCCACATATATGGACATCACATTTTGGGTTATTTAGACCAAAATACTCAATTTTGCTCTACAAGGGCCTGATATCCACTTACGAGGACATTATACTGCTACTGTTCTATTGAAATTTTAAACGAATATCCTCATATGTGGCTTTTATTTTTCTTAGAAACACAAATCAGGTTTAAAAAAAATCTGGTAATTTTTTGTTTATACATTCATCAGGTCCCAATATGCCCAAATATCAAAGAGAAATTAAAATGCATGCCGTGGAAAAGTTCGGGTCTTAGAAGGTTAAATATAATTTTTTTTAAAGCGAATCATCAACCTATTTTCATGCCATCAGAGGCGACGTTTGAACACAAATATCTCGAAGATCATTAAAAATAAAAGCCTAAAATTTTCACTCTTTTTTTCTTACCATTAAAATGAATCAAGATTTGTAACAGATACATCAAAATAATCTCTAATGACACACAGTGGTGTGTATATTTTTCATTTTCAAAACCCGAGTAACTCAATTTAAATATTTCTTGGCAAATAATCCTTTAATTAAAAAAACAAAACAAAAAAAACCATTTAAACTAAAAGACTTTATCCTCATCATCTCAAAGGTACTGAGAAAATTAATTTGGTACATTAAATGTCAATGGAATAATCGGATGTTTGGGTATCTACGATTGCGTGACAACTGAGAAGACTCCACTGATCAGCTGATCGCCTGACCTTGTGTCGTGGTTTATAAGTCTGGCAGAAGCCCAAGTTGCTTCGTCAAACACAAGCACAAGAGTAAAAAGTCAACCTTAAACATGTAATTAGACTGAAAAAATGTGGATAACCACTTTGTAGATTTGTTTATATCTGTCTGTCTTTTTTTTTTCCATCCTTGTTTTGTGCCAGGCAGACACACCTTTGCTTAATATAGATTGAAGTGTCTTTGGAAAGAAAGTAATATACTTACTGCTATACTTAGAAAGTATAGTAAGTGGAAAACACAGGTCTCACACAGCAGGGAGCCAATTTAAAATTCACAAAAACATTGCTCCTTTAAAACCCACATAGACAATGAAAAATGCATTTCCAAGTTCTAAGCCTATGTGCTTGTGTTATCTTTGGCTGTTATAGTTAAATATTCGAACCATCAAATTCTATCTCCTTTCTCTTCTCGTAAAACTTTCTTTTAGAAATCACCTACAATCCTGAGGGAATTGCACAAATTTATTTTCACTGATTGCAGAGTAAGATTAAAACGAAATGTAACTGCGCTACATTTACTTAAAAGAAAAACACCCTACATTTGTCGGTATCTATCTGAGAACAATACTAGTAGGTGCATAGCTGGATCTGTTTCTATCCAAACACACACCTTTAGACAGATTTTTTCCTCGCTGAGCTCCTGATCTAACAATGTGGGTGAGGAAGGTGTGGGTGGAGGGAGACACCTCTGTGGCTCCAGTGGAATGAACTGTGCTCTGTAAAACTCACGAGTGATCCAGTATTTCAGAGATTTAAATCCCTCCATCCCTTTTGTTCAGAAACTAGCAAAAACATCTGGTTTGTAAAGGATAAAGACTGAAAACGTGGACAAACAGCAACATGTAGCATGTAACACTGATGACATAAAGATTTATTTTGGAAATTTTACCCATTTCACAGGACTAGTGATGATTCCTATTTTCAGTTTACCAAGAACTTACTCTTCTGCCATCTGTAGAGTAGAGTTTCAGCACTGGGAACTGCAGGATCTGCGATAGGTAATCCAGCAATGCATCAAATGTTGGAGCTGTTCTTCTCTGCAAAACAATTGTGCGTTTAACACTTGGATCCCTGTTCTTGATGACCATAAGCCTCTTTGGTGTCCGTACTGCCACTCTTTCAGTGACCTTTGCTGGCCTGATGGCTTCATTCTTGCTGCCAAACTGACCAAATCGCCGTCGTCGCCCTACACTGACCAGTCTGGTAGTATTCCAAGGTACCTGCCGCCGGTTCACTTCATCCAGGTTTATTGGCTTCACACGTTTCTGGTCAGAGCACACATAAGCACCTCCATCATGTAAGTCATCTAATGCCTTAACAAGGTGAGTCCCCCGGGGTGTGGTGATAGTCCTCACTCCAAATGCCAGAGGCACTTTCTTGGAAAGAACATCCAGTAGAGCATCAAAGGTCTTAAAGGTGCGGGTATTGATGACCATTCGATGCCCTCCAAACTGATAGTCACCGCTTTTGTAGAAACATACTCTTTTAGAAGCTGAAGGATCAGAGGAGAGCTGCAGGGGTCGGGAGGGTAAGGTCTGCCCACTCCCAGAGGACAGTCCCTGGGTAGGGAGTTCCTGGATAGGTGTAGTGCTCATACTGTCTGGAGGGAACTGAAAAGAGAACAGAGAGGCCATTTCAGTGTAGTGGAAGTCGCTTTTATCCTTTTTTTTCTCTAATTTGATGAAACCAAGATATATTAAAGTTGCTTATAATATAGACAATAAGATAAATAACACAATAATAATAGGGAAACTGCACTTTTGGCTTAGTGCAAAGGAGATTAGCTGTTTTTGTGAAAAATAATGAAAAAATAAAATAAATGAATATCAAACTACCGCAAACCATTTTCTTTAGAATTTTCTCACTGTGTAGGTTTTAGGATGCATTTACGTTGTCATGAGTGAAACTAAACTGACTGCAAATGTACATAAAGAGGGCTGCAGAATATAATCATTTTTCCTGAGCAAATTCTGTAATCCATTACAGAGAAAGCATTTCAACTTTAATGTAAGGCGAACAAAGTAATAGAAACACCTCTGGTTATACTGCAACAGAGTTCAGTGTCATAAACTACACTACACTACATAAACTTCACAAATGCAGGATTTAATACAGGACAGTTAGACTGAATTATATTTAGCTAAGTGTACCCAATAAACTGGCAACTTTATTTAGATCATATTAATATGATAATACAATATAAACATTTGTATATTATAAGTCAATATAAACACTATCTAAAATTTAAAAAAAGACACATTGAAAGAGCACCATTTGTACTTCAGAGCCTTTGTTGTTCTCATAAATAGAAGATACATATATTAGTGTACAGTAAAGATCGCATGGAAATGATGATGAATAATATCTTATAACTTATAAACAGTAAACCAACAACATTGTGATCAGCAAGTCAAAGTGAATGTAAACACAGGCCCTTCACACCCCACCCATACATTAGATCAGACAACTTGAAACACATTAAAATGACTGACTGGATAAGTAAACATGCTGATAGATGAAACAAACAAACTCTTACCGGATAGTTCCCATTTTATCCTAATAATAACAGCTAAAACAACAGAAAGCATATATCTGTTGCTCCTCTGAGCGCTGGTCAAAGCCTCTCAGCAGCGTTCGAGGGCTATTTTAGGACGTGCAACATCATGGCCAATTTGCCTAATCTTTGCTCACACTTAATCAGCACATAAGGCAGCAAAAAAGCAAAAATACATAGGGAGTGTACCACAGAGGACTAGAAAAGAAGGCTGTTATTTGTAAGGAAGTAAATAAATGATTATGTTATTGTATTAGAGAAAGTGTGGGATATACATGTATATATTTTTCAAATTATTTTGTATTATTTCCAGTAGGAAATCTCCATTTACAATACAGAAATGATCTTATTGGCCATATTTACCGGCGATAAGGTTTTCTCAGCCTTATTGGCCATAAATACCTCATCTCTCCTTTTCCTTATTTGCACTTAAAGACAAAGTAATAAATATTGGGTGACTCAGAGAAGGGTCTACTAAGTACCAGAATAAGAAATAAATGAAGAAGATGGTGGTGAAATGAAAGTATACCTGCTTTCCAGTTTAAATGATATTAGTGAGTGTTTGCCTCTTCCAACAGATACCACAGGTGGCTTGGACTATTTCTAATTTGCAAGCAGTCTGTCTAATCAGATTTGAGAGGTCTTCGCCTAATAGGGATTAGGTTAAAGATTTTGCGCACTGCTGACAGCGTGAGGTAGAATAAAGTCTTTAGAGAGCACTTTTACCTCACAGCAGGTATTGAAAATCCACCATCAGGACACATGATGCATCAGTATTTAGAGTTCATGCAGTTTGTGTAGCAGGGCTTTAGTAAATAAACAAGAAAGAGGGGGAATCTGTAGCATTGTATCTACACTTGGATGGGGCAATTCATCCAAATGCATGTTGTGGATTTTGAATTTTGGCCGTTGGGAGAGTAGCTAATGGTCGAGCACATGCATCAGGAGTCGAGAGCTGTGTCACTGTACTACAGTTCCCATACGGTATGCCAATTCCTAAGTGGCCCCGACTGAATAAAAGGCATTCATATCTCCTGCTAACGTGTACCATCCTAGAAGATGGAGACAGTGGTGGCGAAGAAAGGACATGTGTAAGTCACCAGGATTAATCCATTACATTTTTTTGTGTAAATAAATGTAAATAAGTATAATTATTTTTCCTTACCTCATTTCTATTGCAAACTACATGGCTTTTAGCACTAACTTTAGCATTTAACCTCTCTTTGCTAGATACTCTACATTGTATGTACTGTAGCTACCAGTGTATTGCACTTTCTCTGTTAAATTATTCAGAGTGTTTGCAGTGTTTGCCTAACCTTCAGTCATTAGGTGGTAATGTCACATGCTGGTCTCTTTGGATTACAAAGATCCAAATTAGCAAGTCAGTCGTGTCACAGTGTAAGATCAACAGTCTGCCATCACTGTGGCCTGGATTGTGGTCCTCAAAGGTTACAAGTTTGAACTACACAACAGTCGTGCCTTCTTCAAAAGCCCAAGTCCATCTAATAATTCCTTCAGAAAAACAGAGGCTCTTTCGTGGGCTTTTAATTACACTCAGTTATACATTATTCACCACTGCTTGGGGCAAATCTAATAGATATTGTATATTTTAACCACTTGACAAGATGGCAGCATCTCTGTTTTCACATGAACTTAAACTCCCAAACCCCAGCTTACAATGAAGCCATGACACCACCACTCTGCATGTCCACTTAGTCCAGCAAACTGTGACATTTTTATACCTCTGCAGTGGTGACAGATGTGGCCAAATTTCTTCATAATGTCAGGGTGCCTGTCTATCTGTCACATTCTCCTGTAAATTATTTATTTCAGTCCTTTCCTAACTTTTAAATAAAATATTCCTCATATTGTATCCTATCCCTTGAAGGAATCTGTACAAACACATACTTGCACTTAAGGATGAACAAGCTGGATCTTTCTGATTTTTTTGTCTGCTTTTGTTTTTATGCCAAATTCACCTGGTTTCACACATATGTCTAATAGAATAACATCATTACATTTTATATCCAAAAGGTCAGATGCCAACTTTCTTTTCTGATCTATTAGAATGAGCTTTGTTGACCAAATATGAACACATGCAATGAGTCAGTAAACTTACACACTGGTAAAGCGGGGCAATGAAACTCAAAAATATGAAGTCCAGTTAAAAATATAGCCTAGGCGGGTTCCACAATAGCTCTGCAATAGATTAGCAACATGTCCAGGGTGTACCTTTCCTCCTGCACAATGGCAGCTGACTTGTGTAACTTTAGTTTTTTAGCTTGAAGTGAGTTTCTGATGCCAGTAATATACAGTAATATATATGTCAGTTACTTATTATTATTATTATTATTATTATTATTATTATTATTATTGTTATTATTATTATTGAAAAAAACAATTTAACTAACTAAAATAAAAAAGAATGGAAAATTGAAAACATTGAAAATTTAAAACTAATTGAAATTAGTTTGTAAATTTGGAAAACTAGCTAATAATAATAATAATAATAATAATAACAATAATAATATAGAGAAATATAAGAAGTTTTAGTATTTGTTAGTTTGGTAAAAAAAAAAAATGTTACCACATCTTGCCTAGTGACGTATTGTTGGACTAAAACTAACCCTGAAACTAATTTAAACTGAACTAAAACTATAAACATTTTTACACAATAAAAACTAAACTGAAACGAGCAAACCTGCTCTGGAAACTGAATGAAGTGAACTGCCTCAAAAACAATACATCGAAACAAACAGAAAACAAACAAAAAACAAAACTAGAACTAACTAGAAAATACAAAGCGATTACAACTTATGAATTGTGTAAGTTCTGGACAGTAACCTGTTGTGTGAGTGACTGTTTTTGTGAAAACATAAAGCCGGAGTGTTTAGGCTGTTGGTCAAGTTGGATTGTCTCCGATTGTGAACCTAGATCCAGATGGCACTTTGGCGCTATCTAACGACAGGTCGCCATGCTGATTAAAAAAAGATCCAGGCTTTGTACGAAGATAAAATTATCAGATGTTATGAAATATAGTTTTATCTCGGTATTCGGAAAGTCTCTTCTTTGATTAAATTGTCTAGGTGATAGCTGTCCTGGGATATCAGGCTTCCAGAAGGTTGCATCTCGATTGAGTTCCCTTGAGCTCATCATGCATCTACTAGTCAGGTCTGCTGCGGTCGGTGTGCGGTCCCGGTCCGCCGACTAGCTGTCACTGCCGCTGCTTTCTGTTCAGTGGCGTGGTCTTTGTGGCAAATTTAGTTTCTGGCTTGGTTCTAATTCATTTGGACTTTACCAGCTCGGTCACCATGGGCAAAAAGGAAGAAGAGGAGGTCATCAGAATTGCGAAGAAGATCGATAAAATGGCGCAGAAGAAAAACGGGGTAAGATGTGTGTGAGGGAATGAATGCCGATCTGACTGATGGTGTAGCTAACATGAGCGCTAACTGGGAAATCCAGTCAGGATCGGGCTCAACGTGTGCTAAATAACCCCAAAGTTGTCAACAAAAATTCTGCACTGTTGTGTTGTTCCGCTGACGATGGTTTTCCGGTCCTTGCCCTCAGCAATTAGCTCCAAAGCTAACCTACCTGTTGTTATGACTAATGGTTAGCCGCTAATTAGCTCCCTTGCGAGTCTGTTTATGTGAATGGGAGGTTTCTATGTTGCTAGGACTTAGCCACGTAGCATCCTACTAACCGCTGTCAGCTTTATGGCCTCGCAAGGCAATAATACAATTCTAGATCTGGTCACTTTTAGCTAATGTAATGACTGAATATCAAATCGTTAAACAAATTAGAGTGATATTGTTCTGTTATCCTTCGGGTTAGGTTTCATTTTGGGGTTTGTTTGGGGGAGGTTTCTTAGTAGCTAATTGGCTAACTGTTAGCTACCAAGCTGCCGCTCCTGTAGTCCAAGCATCATTGCATAAACATAAACAAAGCTGCAGCTAATGATTATCCGTTAATCTGCTGATTATTTCCTCGATTAATAAACGGAACCTTAAAGTGTAAAAGATAATGTAATCAAAAGACTGTAACAGTC